GATTGAGGTAGAATAGTATTGGTGGAAATACAGCAGAGAATTTTCCCAAACTAATGAAAGACATCAAGCCACAGATACAAGAAGCACTACCAACTCCCATCAAGATAAAAGACAGAAAAAAAGACCCTAGGTACATTGTAGAAAAACTTCTAAAACAGAAAACATAAGGAAAATCTTAGTCAGTGAGAGAAAAAGGACATTTACCTCCAAAGGAAAAACAAAATGATTGGTAGTTGGTTTATCAACAGAAAAATAGAAAACAGAAGACTGTGGAATAAATCTTCAGTGAGGGCATTGGGATCAAAACTAAAGACAACACTTCTAGCACAGTGATTCTAAAATTCATAAGAAGCATATGTTAGTTTTCTATTGCTGCCATAACAAATTATCACCAATATAGCAGACTTAGAATAACATGAGTAATATTGATTTATTACCACACAGTTCTTTTTCCAAAAATATGTGTATATATTTAACTGCGATACTATAAATACTATAAATCAATCATAAAATGTAAAAACAACCCTATAGAAGTGGACAAAATGATATGAACAGGTAATTCACAGAAGAAGAAAACTGAGTGGCCAAAAGTAGCTTATTCAACTGCACTATAATCAGAGAAAAGCAAATTAAAATGACATGAGATACCAGTTTGTATCCATGATATTTAAAGTATTAAGAAGTTTTAAAATTTCAAGTGTTGGTAAGGATGCGAGGGGCAAGAGGAGGGAGTAGCACATGTGTAGGCAGAGGTTGAAGCAAGCAATGGCACAGATTATCACAAGTCTTGTGAGAAGTTCTTTGTGGTTGCAGTTTAAGCAAAGGTAAGAAGTAGGGAAAAAGATTAAAGAGGCTGGCAGATTATGTGGGGCTTTGTTTCCATGCTGTGAAGGTGGCTTTTTCCCTGGAAGGAAATGATCAGACATTGAAGGATTTATCTTTGTACAAAGATTGCTCTGGAAGCAAAATGGAGAATAGTTAGGAGGGGGCAAGACTGGAGAAACCAGTTAGGACTCTGTTACAGCATCACGCAGAGCTGATAAGAGCCTAAAGAAAACAGCAGCAGTAGGGATGGAGAGAAGGAGATACTAAGGATGGACATAGAAGATACTAAAGAGGTAGAATTAATAGAACTTGGTCCCAGATAAGGCAAGAAGGATAAGAGAACAGGAAAGTAATGGAACTTTCAGGCATGGCCAACAGGATAAATGATGATAAAATTCACTGGAATAGGTTTCTCATTCTTCCAAAATGATGAGTTCAGTTTGGGGCATCCTGATTTAGAGGTGTCTTTGGGGTCTTGTGGTCAATTGTTTCTATAGGTCTGAAGCTCAGCAGGAAAGTCTAGGCAAGAGATTTCAATTTAGCAGTTGTCAGTGTATTCATGGTTATTGAAACCCCCTTCATGGGTGATATCACATATATGGAGTGTGATGAGAATAAAAGAGAGTTAAGGACAGAATCCCAGGGATCAACATCTGAGAGATGGGTGAAGGAAGAGAAATTGGAAAAAGAGACTGAAAAGGAGAAACCAGACTGATAGAAGGAAAATAATGGATTTGGGGAAACAAGGAGAGGAGCTCCAAATCAAGAGGACGTATCTGGCAGAGGCAAATACCACAGAGACATCAAGACAAAGGCTGTGCTGGTGGGAAAGTAAATTGGTGCAGCCACTATGGAAAACAGTGTAGAGGTTCCTCAAAAAATTAAAAATAGAACTACCATATGATCCAAAAATCCCACTTCTGAGTATTTATCCAAGGAAAATGAAAACACTAACTTGAAAAGACATATGCACTCCCATGTTCATTGCAGCATTATTTACAGTAGCCAAGATATGGAAACAACCTAAGTGTCCATTGATGAATGGATAAAGAAAATGTGAGATAGATAGATAGATAGATAGATAGATAGATAGATAGACAGACACACACACACACACACAATGGAATATTATTCAGCCATGAAAATGAAATCTTGCCATTTGTGACAACATAGATGGATCTCAAGGGCATTATGCTAAGTGAAATAAGTTAGAGAAAGACAAATACAGTATGATGTCACCTATATGTGGAATTAAAAAAAACAACCAAACTCATAGATACAGAGAAGAGATGGCAGTTGCCAGAGGCAGGTGGTGGGGGGTGGGCAAAATGGGTGAAGAGGGTCAAAAGGTACAAGCTTCCAGTTATAAAATAAATAAGTCGTGGAGATGTAATGTACAGCATAGTGACTATAGTATATTGTAGTGACTATAGTATATGTACACTATGTATATATACACACTATATATATATATATACTATATATACTACAGTATATAATATAGTGACTATACTGTATTACATATTTGAAAGTTGTTAAGAGAGTAGATCTTAAAATTTTTCATCCCAAGAAAAAAAATATTTGTAACTATACATGGTGACAGATTTTAACTAGACTTATTGTGGTTATCATTTCACAATGTATACAAATATTGAATCATTATGTTGTACACCTGAAACTAGTGTAATGTTATATGTCAATTACACCTCAGTAAAAAAAGAGACAAAGATTGAGAAGTTACCACTCAATTTACCAACTGAGAAGGCACTGGTTATCTCAGTCTAAGGCAGAAGTAGATGGTAGTGGATTGAGGAATGAAAAAGAGATGAAGAATTAGTGATCTAGTCTTTCCAAAAGCTTGGTTGTGATGGCAGTATGAAGTGGAAACTGGAGGAGGATGTTTTTTTTCTTTTTTAAGGTGGTAGCACTTCGAGGATATGTACATATTTGGAGGAAAGAGGCAGTCTAGAGGGAGAGATTGGTGTTAAAGGAGAACAGTGAACAGACTGAGACACTAAAGCCGCAGTAGGTGGTAACCAGAGGGTTTCACTTTAGGTGAGAGAATGGTCCCTCTTCCATTGCAATGAGGTGGGCTGGAACAGGGAAGAGGTAGGTGTGGGTACGAGTGACCCTGTTTCTAAGTGGGAAGCAGGGAAATGCAATTCTCTCTGATGGCCCTATTTTCTTAGTGAGATCATTTGCTGAGAGTGAGGCTAGAAATTTGGGGTAGAGATTTGAATATTGCTGAGGGAATGACAGAAGGTGCTGGCTTGGCTTGTGAAGAACACAACTTGCTGCCAATTACTAAGGGAATCACCAAGGGCCCAGGGATAGTTGGAGACCACTCATTTATTTGGTGGCAGCAATCTGTGTGTGTGTGTGTGTGTGTGTGTGTGTGTGTTTGCGTATGGGGGTGTGTGTGTGTTCTAGCAGTGCTCAACCACCAGGGTATATACTAAACAATTTGAATGGTTGGATCAAACCTCTTTGAGATTTTGCTAGCTGAGTGAGACAGAAGAACAAGCACTACCATTTATTGAGTGACCTTGGATTTGGGAATTAATCTCTCTAAACCTTAGTTTCCTTGTCTGTAAAATGGGGCTAAAAATAGTATCTGTCTCACTGGGTTTTTGTGAGAATTAAATGAGATAATACAGTGTTCTTCATTTCTTTTATTGTGGGCTTCAATAAGAATATGGAGCCTTACTGTAAGAACTAAATGAGTTATCATAAGTCCACAATGCCTTTACCAAAATATTACAAAAATATTTGGGAACTTACATGTTTCTAAACTCAGAATTTGGGAGATTTTAGGAAAGTAATATGGTGACTAGAACATATATTACATAACACGCCATCAGGGCTTGGAGAAGTTTCCAAAATCAAACATTAATCTTTCCACAGCCAGGGGCCGGCCCCGTGGCTTAGTGGTTAAGTGTGCGCGCTCCGCTACTGGCGGCCCGGGGTTCGGATCCCGGGCACGCACCGACGCACCGCTTCTCTGGCCATGCTGAGGCCGCGTCCCACATACAGCAACTAGAAGGATGTGCAGCTATGACATACAACTATCTACTGGGGTTTTGGGGGAAAAAAAGGAGGAGGATTGGCAATAGATGTTAGCTCAGAGCCGGTCTTCCTCAGCAAAAAGAGGAGGATTAGCATGGAAGTTAGCTCAGGGCTGATCTTCCTCACAAAAAAAAAAAAAAAAAAGCCCAATGTTTAAAAGGAAAAAAAAAAATCTTTCCACAGGCAAACATATGAATATTCACATAAACCACGAATTAAAACTATAAATAGCCTCACCTCAGTTTCAGATCAGGTTTTTGTCATCAAAGGAATTTAGGTCAGATTTTGCTTCAAACGTGCTTTTTAAAAAGTTTTTGGTTTTTTCAGACCCTTTTGGATTTTGGAATAGTGGATATGAAATTGTATAGATATAGATATAGATATAGATATAGATATAGATATAGATATAATCTTTTTAAAGTGCCTGGCACATAATAAGTACTGGTTACTATTATTGGTAGGGATATATTTCATTTTTATAATGATGACCCTAACCCACCAAAAGCATTTCATGACATACCAATAGGTTGTGACTCATACTCTGAAAAATGCTGATATCTAAATGCTTAACCTAGCCCGTGCTGCATATTAAGCTCTCAACACATGCTAGAAGGCAAAAAAATACCATCTTATATTTGTATAATGTTTTAACTTTGCAGAATTCTTTTAAGCACATAGCTGCTATTAATCTTCCCAGTAACTTTATCAGAATTAAACTAAATTCTGTAAGTTGAATTAAACTAAATTCAACTTTCCTCTTGACCTACTGAGGGTTTCATGTCTCAATGGTGTTATGATGAATAGTAGGAAATTTAAATAATGATAATCACACCTTCCTATGGCATTATTCCTTGACATCTAAAGCACTTTTTAAGTTTTCTTTAATTATTTTATGTGAAATAGATCATTTTATTTCACAGATAAACAGAACTAAGAGATCAAGCCATTTGTCTTAGGTTACAAAAGACACTATTTCTACATAGAATTTGTCCAATAGAATATACACCTTAGGAACAACTTCCAAAGAATATTTATTATTCAGTTCTTAAAGTGATGTAAAAACACGCTTCTCTGAAGTCACCTTATAATCCTAGTGTTTTATTTTCTAGTGCTCTGGGAGACATTAAAATAGCTGAAGTGAATGTCAAGGGTTTATTCGTGAAGTTCGTTAACTCTTCCCTTGACAAAGAAGTGGATGTTGGAGATCATATTCTCCAGCAAAACGTGAATGGACAAGTAATCTCTTTGTACCGTTTCCTTCCAAATATCATACTGCAAGCCAATTCCACAGTAACGGTGAGTATAAGATAGAAATACTATGAACTAGAGTTGTGCAGGAAGAACTCATTTACCCAGTCAGACTGCAGCTCGGGACCGGTGGTCTCATCATCACTCAATCTCCATGTCAAAGGTAATTTTTTGTTGGTGGTGGTTGATTGTGCCACTGTGCATCTCTGGATGTAAATTGATACCCACAATTAAATTTCCATAGCTTTCTTCAATTGACTGTCCAATACTTTTTGTTTTTATGATTTAACTATTAAAACGAAATACTTAAGTTCCTAAAACTAAGCAAACATAGTGCTTATAAGAAGAGTAAAGAAAAGTGATTGTTTGCTTTAAGAACAGGTAATTAGCTGATGCTGGAGGCTTTCCCCTCTTGCTGATACTTTCCTTTAAATCACGTACAGTGGCTGTTCAGTGTTACACAGTTTGACATTATATATTATACAGTTATTATATTTTAAAACCTCATCTGTTCAGAAAGATACATTGCAATCACCCTCTGACATTTACAAAACTATGTTAACACCAATGGCATTGTCATTAACAAACTATTTTCTTACAGGTGTGGGCAGCAGCATCTGAAGCAAAGCATCAGCCGCCATCAGATTTTCTTTGGAAGGAACAAAACAAGTTTACAACAAGCCCGAATTGTACAACAATCCTGTGCAAACCTAATGGTGAAGTCAGTGTCCAGTTCTTAACAATAGTTTTTAAAAGATTGGATAGCTCTCCTTATATTCTCCTTCTCCTCTTAGCTCACTCAATTACTTTTCCCTCCTTAAAAGCTTGGATAGAACCATCACTAACTGTCATAACACGTCAGGCAAATCAACAGCACCTCTTCCCAGTGCCAAAGAGCTGCTTACAATTTGGTGAAAATCATTTTGATAGCCCATATTTCTAAGAAGCTATTTCAAATTTCAGAGTCAAGGATGGATTTTATTTATGGTATTTAGCGTGAAGAGCAGGATAAGAAAGGATGGAACTACATACAGGCCTTTTCTTTTCATTTATTCAGTTCTCAAACATTTGTTGAGATTCTCCTCTATTCTAAGGGCTGCAATAGTGTCTGGAATATAACGTAGAGTAAGACATGAAATCTGCTCTCAAGGGACTAATATTCTTTTTTTTTTTTTTTTTTTTTGGGTGGCGGGGAGGAAGATCAGCCCTGAGCTAAGAGCCATGCCAATCCTCTTCTTTTTGCTGAGGAAGACCGGCCCTGAGCTAACATCTATTGCCAATCTTCCTCCTCATTTTCCCTTTTTCTCCCCAAAGCCCCAGTGGATAGTTGTATGTCGTAGTTGCACATCCTTCTACCTGCTGTATGTGGGACGCCGCCTCAGCATGGCCAGACAAGAGGTGCGTTGGTGCGCGCCCAGGATCCAAACCCGGGCTGCCAGTAACGAAGTGCCCGCACCCAACCACCAAGCCACGGGGCCTGCCCCGGGACTAATATTCTAGTGAAAAAACCTACGCTCTAATTTATAATGACTATACTTTATTCACTATAAAATTAAGTGTATTAGTAATAACGTTGTTTAACTCATTCCCAATATTTGATAATTTTATATTTTCACTCTACTTTTTTCTCGCTATGACATTAGCATAATATATGCCCAAAGACACACAAGTAAAATTTAAAGGTATCTCTTTTTACAACAAAAAAGTTACTCCTTTTTCAAAATCATCCTTTAGATTTTTCTTAACGATCTGCCTTTTTTCCTCACCCCTAGTCTAACTTACTATGTCATACAACTACTAATCCACACAATATGATGATCGGAATCGACTTACGAGTTTCTTTCTTGCTCCGTTATACCTGATGCTTAGACTGACTATTCCTTTAGAATAGACTTGCTAATTTATTAAGAGCCACCATTTAGTGTCTTTCTGTGAGAACAAGCAGTTGTCGCCAGATGGAGCGAACCCTCGCTAGATGTGATGTTTGCAGCCTTCTCTCGTTCACCCTTAGATATTTTTGTGGGGTCAAACTGAATTTTATAATACTTCCAATAATTTTCACTGATGAGGAAAATAAGGCTATGCAATCTCAGTTATTTACTCGGCCTCATAAGAAATCACTAGCAAAACCCAGATTAGGATGAAGGCATTCTCGTTTCAGACCTTTCATCACGTTTATCCCTCTGCAAACACGTTTGGGGTTTCTACTTCGTATGAACACTGTTCCAGGCACTGAGTGTTTTACCAGACAGACCAGGTCCCTAAGCTCCTGGAATGCACATTTTAGTAAATTGTCATTTTCTACAACTGAATTAGACTTTGTACTTAGACTGCTCCTTTTACTGAGTGGTTTGAGCTACTTTGAACAGATAGGATCAGACCATTTCTGCTGGGTGATGTAAATACAAATAACTGTTTGCCAGTGAAAGATTGAGCCTGATTGATTGACTTGTATGGAAATATTTACATATATTTAGTATCTGCCAAGCATTGTGCTAGTTGCTGGAGGAAAGAGCAAAAATATTGCCTGGTTTTTGTCCTCAGGAAACTCAGAGTCTAGCCATAGAAATTGGTATGTAACAATAAATAATTGCATTACAATGAAACAATGCTTTCATAGCAGTGTGTTCACAGAGCATGGCAGCCAGGTTAGAGATATCAACTTTGTAAAGGAGAACATCAAGAAAAGCATTAGAGGAGAAAACACTTGTCCAGAGTCTGCAGCAGGATGAGAGAGAGTTCACCCACTTGACCTGAACCGTAGTGGTCTTGCCCCTTTCCTCCTCCCTAATTCACCACTCCCCATGCTTTTCCATGCCCTCTTCTCTAACCACACTGGCCTTCTTTTACTTGTTTTGCTATCCAGTATTTGATTGCTCTTTCAAGCCACAGGGCCTTTGCACATGGTCTTGCCTTTCCATAGACTCTCTTTCCTCCCCTTTTTACCTATTAAATCCTGCTCATCTTTCAGACCTCAGCCCAAGCCTTTCTTTTTGTGAGGTCACATGCTCCTGGAATTCCCACCTCATGGTAAAGCACTTAGCATTATTTAATTCAAATAGAAAATATTTCCATTAAATACACTGAAATGTGACTTTAAGTCAACCTAAAACCATATATAAGCACAGAGTTTTTTTTTTTAACAAATTCATTTCTGCTCTCACCTCAATAATACTGGATCTCACTATCTGCAATTGCTAGATAGATTTTCCTTGAAAAGATAGGTTGCTACATTCCCATAGACATGCTGAAACACAGACAGACCCAAGGTTTCATCATGACCCTGGAATTGCTTTCTATTTGTGTAGCTTGTATATAGAAAATAACCCATATCTCGTGGAAAAAGTTACAGAGCCTGCAGTCTTCTGCTTAAAATAACAGCCACCCATACAGATTAGAATAGCTCCTGTTTCTGGACTTGAATAATACTTTTTTTTAAGACATGGCAGGGGCTGGCCCATGGCGCAAGCGGTTAAGTGCGTGTGCTCCGCTGCAGCAACCTGGGATTCACCGGTTCAGATCCTGGGTGCACACCGACGCACCACTTGTCAGGCCATGCTGTGGTGGCATCCTATATAAAGTGGAGGAACATGGGCATGGATGTTAGCCCAGGGCCAGTCTTCCTCAGCAAAAAAAAAAAAAAAAAGAGGAGGATTGGCAGATGTTAGCTTAGGGCTGATCTTCCTCACAAAAAAAAAAAAAAAGACATGGCAAACAGAAGTTACATTATGGGTCATCAAAAAAAAAAACTCTAAAATAAAGTATGGCAGACTGCTTTTTGAGTCATCACTAACATGTCAACAGTTAATATTCAATGCACCTACAAATCTGATGGTGTAATATAAAGGTGGATTTAGTCCTGCTGTGCCATGAGTTAACTATGTCATCTTTATTCTGTTTTCTAATATGTAACATAAGAGATTATACAGTAAAATCACTAAGATTCTATGTGTCTATAGATTTTTAAATAGGGCTAGATGTTTTTCACCAGTCACATCGTTGTCCTATAGGATTTGTAGCCTCTGTAGCGTACGTCGAAAAATTAATAGGCATCTTATATTTATTCAACACCTGGTACTTTCCCAATACATTGTTTGGCATTAGAGATTCAGATACAGAACAGACCGCTCCCATGCTGTAGGAACTCATTGAAGAGCTGTTTATATGTACCTTATCTCATTAGAGTCTCAGTGTTGTTTAAGTATTTTACAAAGGAAGAAAATGGGGCTTGGAAAGTTAAATGGCTTGCTCAAGGTCACATGATTAGTTAAATGGCAGAAATAAAATGAAACCAGATATTCTAACTCCAAGAATTTTTCTATTGTACTAAAGACAAGGTTCATGTGGCCAACATTCCAGAGGTGAAATTAAAACTATATCATTTTACTTTGTCACATTATCATTGTCATTGTCATCAAATATTTTTTAGTCCCTATAGTACAGGGGGAGAAATAAAATATTGCTCTTGTCTAGGAAAGGCTTACAATCTAATCGAGGGAGATTGTACTAAAAGGATCATGAACATATTTTCAACACGAATATCTATATTTGAGTCACTAAAAGAGGAGAATCCCTAACTGATGATCTGAAGCAAAAGTGGGGTTTTCCTGCTGTGATCCATGAAATTGAACTTTATTTTTTAGGATTTTTTCTTTCTTCTTCCACCGTAGGCCTAGCCTAGCTGAACTTGCCTAATGTTGCCTTTACATCTATTTAATTTGTCAAGCCAAGCAGAGGGTTTTTCAATGATTACAACATAAACTCCAAACCTCTAATTTTATAAACTAAAAACAGATCACAAGAACAAGTAGACTCTTAGGGCACACTGTGGTGCTTAATTTTCTCATGTTGAACAAAGACGTAATTGTTAGTCCCTACACATGATTTTCCTGATTAATTTTTGCCCATATATGTTATGCACATGCCATATAGACAAGAAACCAAAACGAACTCCAGTTTTAGTGGTCATGGGTCTCCTTACTAGTCCCACCTAGGATTCTAGCCTGGAGAACGTGGTTTCTTCTCCTTGTCTCTAGATCTACTGCCAATTTCCCCATCTCAAATAAGACATATGTATATAACACAGTGTCTTACATATTTAAAATTTTAATTTATTAATATTACAACTACTTTTTACACAGTTCTTCATGTTATAAAATTCAGTAGCTTAACTGAATCTCACAAAACCCTCGTACAGCGATTCCCCACTTCCACCTTCCCCATCTTACATACGAGGACAGCCCAAGAGAGTAAGTGACTAACCTACCTGAGCTTGCAATTGTCAGAATTGGAAGCTAAGACCAGGCTGTCTAACTGCATCCTCATTGTGTGTTTCACTAATCCATACACAGTAGGTAAGTGACATTATACAGTTTGATTTTGAAGTTTTATTGCAATAAGCCTATGACATTTAAAAAAATCTAACTCCAACACTATTCAATATTAATGAATCATTTTGGTTAGGCCATTGCCTGGTACACTCCGATTCACTGGAAGCAAGCGTTGGAGAAATTAGAGACTGACATTGAATTTGACAGATGCTCAGTAGTAAGTCCAGCGTCTCGAAGGCACATGTTTCATTGGCACGAAGTTATGACTACAGCTAAAGAAGAACAAGATCAGTCTAAGAAAGGTATCTCAAAATGTCAGATGGAACCAGCTCAAGCTTTTCTTAAGAGGTAAAAGTCACTTGATTTTTTTTTTAATTGAATCCTCACAATTAGTAACTAAGCAGGTAGGAATGACTGGGTGACAAGTAGATATGTGATGACTACATAAATCAATAATGACCAAAAAAATCCTATTTTGAAGAGGACCATAAAAACCATCATATATTCATAAGCAGAGTTACACTTATGGGACAATAAAGGCTGGTGATTTCTGCTGGGCGATATCGAGACCCCTCTGGCCATTTCACTTCTCGATGACACTGCTGTTAGAGGCAAGGCTGGGGAAAGGCAAAGAGATGAAGTTATGTCTTCAGCAGTGCTCAGGTGGAGGGAGAAAGGCATCATCTAGAAATTTTATCTTGGATCAATTGCTGATGTGGCTGGAGGTGCAGAATTTATGTCATTCATGTGTAGGCAAATGCCTCTGATGTTGTGATAAAAGTGCTGCTCACAAGCTCTAGAAAAGCCATATTCTCTGGTCTTGAAACATGCTTTCACTTTGATTGAGCCTTCATTACTAATGCCACCGCATAAAATGCTTTATGGGTTCAATTTGGGCTTAATTTTTCTTTTACAGAGAAAAAGAAATGCCACCAACACTTTTCCCCAATCGCAGCCCTTGGTGTCACAGTCCTGATGTCCCTGCACATCCCTACTGTTCTCTGATTGAGCCTCATAATACCAGCATGGCTGGAAGCAGCTTAGATAGACAGCCCAGGCGTCAGTCAGCCAGGCCTAATCCAGTGCAGGTAAGTCAAAGGGATATTTATTCCAGTGAAGAGTAAGGTGGATGTGTGGATGTGTGTTGAGAACTGGCGAAAAGTTGGTAAGTGGTAAAATTCGCTAAGTATTAAAAACTATACATATCCTCAAGGATAGACGGCTCATAAAGCAAGTATTACAAGCCATTTGCTTACATGTGCTTTAGCACAGTGTCTTTTGCTGGTCTTGATAAGTATCTATTGAATGAATCAATGAATCAAAAGAACAGTGTGGCCAGCAAGAGAACATAGGATTCTTGAAGTCTGGTCAAAAGTACATTTTGTTCTTCACCAGGCAGAAAAAACTGGTCCTACAAGTTATGCTGTGCTAAAAAATATCCATCTTTTCCAAACACACTCAAATATTAATCCCAAATTCTTATTCTTTTTCAACCAGAATTTTCTTATTTAGGTCCTCTAAATAAAGCTTTTAGAGTTGGTGTTATTAACCCAGGATCTGTGAATGGATTTCAAGAAGTCCATGTATCTGCGAAATTTGGTGCAAAAAATGTATGCCTCTATGATGTTTTCTGGGAAGAGAGTCCATGAGGTTTATCAGATGCCCCCAAATGTTTAAGAAGAACTGATTAGAAGACCACAATGCCAGATCCTAAGCTGTGGAGAAAGTCTGTTGCATTTAACAGCTATATCCTGGTGAAGTTATAATGATTTGCAAACTTTTATTTAGCAGAGAGATGCTTTTTTAAACAAAATCTTGGGCAGAATCCCGATATAGAAAATGGATAAAAGCAAACCTGTCCAAGTTGAAGAGAAGGTAGCGATTCCCACTGCCCATTACCCCTTCTTTTTCTTCCCTCCTTCCCTGTGATCTTTGAGGCACCTCTCTGGAATCACAGGATTCTGTACACAACAGTATGAGAACAACTGTGCTAGTATGCTAACACATCACTGGGAAATAGTACCCCCAAAATAATACCTTTTAGAAGCAGAATGATGGAAATTTTGTGAAGTCCTAAATATATTATTCCACTTCATAAAATTAAGTACCCTATATCTTTGTGCCAGAGTTACTTCATCTGTAAAGTAAGAGATCTGGTTCTGGGGCTGGCCCGGTGGCACAGCCCACACTTCTCCGGCGGCCCAGGGTTTGCAGGTTCGGATTCCGGGAGCACACCGACTCACTGCTTGTCAAGCCACGCTGTGGCAGCGTCCCATATAAAGTAGAGGAAGATGGGCAGGGCCAATCTTCCCCACAAAAAAAAAAAAGAGAGAGAGAGAGATCTGGTTCTGAAATTTAAAGCGTTCTTTCAGCAATAAGTTTTATTTACGAAAATATGTATTATATATATATGTAATATATTATTTTCTATATACACACACACACACCCTTAGTACTTTATGACTTAGATTTGAGACTCTCAAGAAGTACGTTAATTTATGTTTTTCTCCAATTAATGGTAGCCTTCACTATTTTACTCATTTTGAACAACTTGTTTTCCAAAGAAATTTGATTTTGAATTTTCTTGATTTACCTTTCTAGAGTGGTAGCAACTCTCCTTAATTATTCAAAAATTTTCACTATTCAACACAAAACATTTCACTGTATGTGTATATTCTGTAATAGTAATTCAAAAAGATAGTTGCTTTGATATCTTTAGGGCCTCTGTTCATCATTATATACCTGTTTAATTTTCTATTCATTAAATTTTGAATATGAGCATTTATACATCAGAATTGTAAGAGCTTTTCTTTGATTTCGATCACAAAAGATGGCCACAAAGAGACAGATGTTATGAATGATTAGAGGATGATTGATTGGACAACAGAAATCTCTGAATCACCAGTTCATTTCCTTGAAAGAATGTGTAACGTGATTCTTCAAGGGAAAGTTACCTAGTTTATTAATTATCCAGTTTCTTTTTAATTTGCCTCCCATGGGATTATTTGCTATCATTAGCACACTCCTTAATAACTGACAAAGAAAAAAAGAGATAAAACAAAAATTCATCAATTTTACTCATAGTTTCTTCAGTCTTGCTCCTTTCTCCCTACACTAATAAATAGGCTAGTTTGCTGAGTTACAGAAGAAAGAGTCTTAGTTGCATGTGACTCTTCTATCTGGAAACAATTGCCTTGTTTTTAACTGTGCCTCCCAAATATGTTATAGAGGAGCCTCGGGACTAACAATTAAGATAATTTTAAAGAAACATCTACACCTCGTATGCCTAATTTATACCAAGCACATTTTGTTTTTTAAAACATGTTAAAATACAGAAAGTATAGAGGATAATGTTAAAAGTATCCACATGCTAATCATTCAAGATTAATGCATGCTAATATTTTGTCATATTGCTTCACATTACCAAGAAAAGCCCCATAAATTTGAAATCCCCTTGGATCTTCTTTCCAGTTTTGACATGAAACTGGAATAAATAATTCTGGTTCTCATTTTCATACTTTAATTACATATATATGGATCCATAAAGTATATACAGTATAATTGATGTGTTTTTAATTTATACAAGTGGCACTAAGCACAGTGCATGACACACAATAGTTGTTTAATACATGTTTGATGAGGACAGACAGAAAAGATTTTAAAGCAGGCATCTCATAGAGTTAGACATGTGTCTTAAAGAGGATTTTGGAAGCAATGTTGAAAATGAAGTGGAATGAAAAAATTCCAAAATCTAGGAGGAAAGAAAGAAGGAAGGAAAGAATAGGAGAGGAGGAAAAAAAGAACAAAGCAGATTAGAAAAAGAGATTGGGGACAAGCAGGTCTTGTAGAGTTGTAATTTGAGTCCCAAAAGAACAGGAGAGAGAGATTGGGACAGAAGTAATATTTAAAGAAATAATAACAAAAATTCTCAAAAATTAAAAGACATCAAGCCACAGAATCAAGAAGAATAAATCACAAACAGCACAAATTCAAAGAAACCACACCTTTATGTGGTTTCATATAATAATATAATATATATAATGTACAATATATAATATAATAATATTGTATTTCGTATATGATATTATAATAAAAGTTCAGAAAACCAAATAATGGAAGTCAGAAGACAATGGAATAATATCTTCAGTGTGCTAATGTGCTAACAGAACTACCATCCTAGAGTTCTATACCAAGCAAAAATATACTTCAAAAGTGAAGGTGAAACAAAGAGATTTTCAGGCAAAGAAAAACTGAGAGAATTCATCAACAGCAAACCCACACTAAGGAAATACTTCAAGTAGAAAGAAAATGATCCTAGAAGGATGCACAGAGATGCAGCAAGAAGTGAAAAAAAATGCAGAGGCAAAACATAGGTAAACATAAATGAATATTCACTATACAAAACAGTACTAATATTACCTCGTAGGGTTTTAAATTTATGTAGAATTAAATACATGACAACTGTATTAGTTTCCCAGGGCTACTGTAACAAAGTACCACAAACCTGGTGTCTTAAAACAACAGAAATTTATTCTGTCACAGTTTTGGAGACTAGAAATCTGAAATCAAGGTGTCAGCAGGGCCCAGGTCAGAAGGCTTTAGGGGATCACCCTTCCTTGCCTCTTCCCAGCTTCTGGTGGTTGCCTGCATTCCTTGGTGCTCCTTGGCTTGTAGATGCATCACTCTAATCTCTTCTCCCATCTTCACATGGCCTTCTCTCCTATGTATCTGTGTCCATATTTGCCTCTTCTTATAAGGACACCACTCATTGGATTAGGGCCTACCTTAGTCTAGTATGACCTCATCTTAACTTGATTACATCTGCAAAGACCCAATTTCCAAATAAGGTCATATTCACAGGTTCAAGGGGTTAGGACTTCAACATATATTTTGGGGGTACACAATTTAATCCATAACAACAGCAATAGCACTAAAGTTGAGGAATAGTAAAGGGAGTTAAAGTACTCTAAATTCCATTATTTGTCCAATATGTTGTAAAAGTAACAATTTATGTTAGATTCTAGTAAATCAAGAATGCATGTTGGAATCTAGGATAGACACTAAAAGAATAGTATATAAATGTCATTCTTGTGACATGATGTAATGTCATACTTTCATGATCATCCTGTAAAAATATATTCTATTTTCAATGTGATCTTCTTTGATACATGGGTTATTTGGGGATAATATATCACAAACAAAGTGGGTGTATTTCAGGAATGCAAAGTTGGTTCAGGCTTTGAAAATTAATCAACTAACCTTATCATCTTAGAATAAAGAGAAAAATTATATAACCATCTCAATAGATAAAGAAAAAGCATTTGATAAACTTTAATACCCAAGCATGAAGAGAGAACCTTAGAAAACTAGGATTAGAATTTCCTTAATCTGACAAATAATAGTATCTACAAAAATCCTAAAGCAAACTATCATACTTAATGGGAAAGTAATGGAAGTTTTCCCCTTGATATCCAGATCAAGATAAGAATTCTCTTTATGATGACTTCTATTCAGCATAGCATTGTACTAGAAGTCTGAATGCAATAAGGAAAGAAAAATCGTTACCCCATAATCCAGCAACTCCATTCCCAGGAATTATATATGCCTAATAGATATATACATACGTGCACCAAAAGACAAATATGATAACAATCATAGCAACTGTATTTGTAATAGCCAAAAACTAGAAACAATCCAATTGTTCATCAACAACATAATGGATAAATAAATTATGATATGTTAATACAATCCCATAAGCAATGAAAATGAATAAACTACTGCTACCTGCAATAACATCAATGAATCTCATAAGCGTAATATTGAGCAAAAGATGCCAGACAAAACAGAATGCATATTGTATGATTCCATTTATGTAAAATTCAAAAACAAACAAAACTAAACCATGGTATTAAAGGTCACAATAGTAGTTATCTCCAGGAGAAGGAATGGAATAGTACTTGGAGGTTACACAAAAACTGCTTCTAGAATACTAATGATGTTCCATTTCTTGATCTGAGTGGTGTTTACATGAGTCACTGTTTTATTATGCTGTGCAATTATGACTCGTGAACTTTTATGCATGAATATTGTACCTAAATAAAAGTTTATTTTTAGAAACTAGATGACAAAAAAAGGAAAATTAGAAAGCGAAGAAAGCACAGTTACAGTAATGAGCACTGACAGCTTATACCTTGACAAGGAAGGAAAAAGAAAACCTAAAAAAATAGATTGACGAACTCAGAGTGAATATTAACAATACGAGACTTACATGGTGTAGGAGAAAAATAGTCGTCTGAAATAAGTCTAAGCCTATCATTATACTGCAATGTATTGGGAATTCATTTTAATATAGTTCATTGTAGCTCAGTCATTTCCAGGAGCATCTCATGGCAGAAATGGCTAATCACTGACCCCTGAAATCATTGTTACTTTAGATGCAAGACTCACAGGTCCAGGGAGATCTAGACACACAGCCACCAAGAATAAAGCCTGTTTTTCTCAGTCTCTGCTGCAGCTAGGCAGGACCATGAGTCTGCATTCTGTGTAATAGAACGTGCACAGAAATCGTGTATGCAACATCTGGATCACGCCCTTGGAGTGTGCGCTCCCCTGTGTCTCCACCCGGCCATGATAACAGGGCTGGAGCTGTCATCTTTCAACTCAGAGATAAAGCCAAATGTTGAGGGTGGAAAAGCCATCCTAAATGCCATGTATTGGCGCATCTCCAGACTGTTAAGTGAGAGAGAAATAATCTTGTTTAAGCTGTTAAGTTGTGTTTGAACCAGATGGCCCACATAGGATCATTACCATTTAGTTTCACTTAATAGGCTACTGGTTATAAAGAAAACAAAAATCTCAGCTAGACAGGACATTTTAAGACAATTACATAAATTTGAATATAGAATGAATATTAGATATTGATGAGCCATTGTTCTTTCTTTATTGTGTTGTGGTTATAGATTCATATAGAAATCTTTACTTAATTTCTAATGGTTTGGTGACATAAGCATAGACAGATACAAATATGGCAAAATATTAATTATTGAATCTAGGTGATAGGTCTTGGTTATATTATTCTTTCATATTTTCTGTATGTTTGAAATTTTTCGCAATAAAAATTTGAAAAAATAAAATAAACAAGAAAGACATTTTTGATAGAATGTAGTAACAACTTGGAGCTATTAGAGCACAGAGGCAAGGCACTGACCACAGCCTAAAGAGTAGCTCTTGGAAGGCTAAAGACCCGTTAACAAAGCGGATGCATTTGCATTGTGTTGGCACTATTGTTCCTAGACCTGGAGAGAATGTGCTTTCCTCTTGCTGTGATTAGCTTACAGACTGTGGACAATTTTGTCAGTCGTCTTCTGCAACCCAAGTTAAATAGCAGAAACTAATCTGAAGATAGTATCCTACAGACATTATTTTAAGCTAACAGTGTAGGTGTGTGCAGTGTTGAATGCACTTTATTTGCATACTGTCTAATACACTTTGCCTATCATCTGTGATCCATGTTGCACACGAAGTGGGATTCATTTTAATTGTGGATTCTACAGCTGCTACTGTCTTCCATACAAATGTTATTACAGTAATAATAATAATAATGTTTCTTTGTTTCTGACGGTTGCAAAGCCACACTATAAAAGCCAATCTGTTGAAAAATAAATGAAACTAGAACATAGATAAGATTATGCAGGAATGAAACATTTAAAATCTCATCAATGTAAGCTCTACATTAAGATCACATGTATGGAATTCTAGTTTAGTTGGGCTGTGGGCATTACTCATTATAGTTCAATAGATCTGGCTTATATATCCTGGGATCAAAGTATTTTTTTCCCATGAGAACATGCTTCCAATGCATTATGGTAACAAAGGAAAAAAATACAAGTTTGGAATAAATTTTCTTTACATATCTTCCATATTAGTATCTGTTCTATTTATTGATGTTTATGCCTGTATTGCATTGTTTAAATTTATCAGATTAAGAATTTGGAATGTTGAATGTCACATCTCTATGACTGGGCAGATTTTCAGTTAATATTATATACATATATTTATATATATATGACAGTATTAGTCAATAATATAACTAGAAATTGTATGAATTGATATATGGAAATTTTTAAACAAATAATCTGACTATCCTATAGAATAGAAAAGGTCAATTACTTGGACCTCTTACAATCAGACTGAGTGGAAAATAATTACTTGAAGGAACACTGCAAACTGTCAAATGTTTCTGTCCATTTTTTGTTATCAAATAATAACATAAAAAATTAGGAACTTTTTTATAAATGAAAATTACATTACATCATGTATTCAAGGGTAATGATTTTTCTCTTCTGTTGCTTGCTCTCAAAAAATTTAGATTGTAGTATTACCATATTTCTGTAGAATTTTTTTTAAAAGAATAGACAAGTGAGAATCAGTTATATGTCTCATCTTACAGCTGAAATAAAGGTTTCTTTAATGGATGTACAAAGAATTCCAAGATATTAGTCCTAATAACAGAATGGGGAAAGGGGCAAGGGTAACTTTATGACTACGTCTTTTATTTCAAAACATTTCAAGATTACAAAATACAAGTATTTTTAATTAATTGCCCTGTAGTTATGAAAGATTATAATCTCATTTATGGAAATATATGTCGTTAATGATCCATTTCTTCACACAAGTGAGAAACACTCTTTCACAAAGTCAGAATATTCGGATTCAAGTTATCAGGTGCTGAAGGATTCAGGCTCAAATAACCCAAGAAATTGCCATCACCCACCGAAATTGAAACAAACAACACTACTACTAATAATCCTGTCATTAAATTTCAAGAAATTATAGATGGGAATTTTTAATAAATGTTTTCCCATTTACTAAATACAGTAAGTTTAGTAACTTCCCATTTACTAAAATACAGTACTTTGTTTGCTAAAGAACAACCTTTCAGGGTGAAACTCAAAATCTTCATCCTCAGGCTAGTCAGTCTGGAAGAACATACATAAAATATTTACAAGGTCTGTTGCATGCCAACAAATCACTCCAGAAGATGAGCAGTGATGAGCTAGATTCTTCTTATATCTAAGCCACTGCCTATGGTAAGGAAAATATCTTAGAAGCCTATTTATATTACAGGTTCATAACTTTCTATTCAGAAAGTTTACACTGCGATGTGCCAAATAGCATCTTGATACATTGGATTCAGAAACCTATTAGCGGCTAAGAGAATCATTGTGTTAAACAGAAACAGCCTGCATTTTTGTTAATCTTCCTTGCAGATCACATTTTCACATCCAGCTTCTGGATATTGTTTCTTTGTAATCAAATACTGGCAATTTAACTTGATAAATTCTTCTTCTGAGCTTGCAGAAGAAAAGAAAGGGTTAGGTATAACAGAGGAGCTTTTCCCGTAGTTGTTTTTTCTGGAAGAGCTCATTGTTGTCTTTGCCTAAAATATTATTTTGCTTTCTTATCTTTTATTTTACAGGAATGAAAGAACATCCCATCTCTGGGCTAGAAGTAATTTGTACTTGAGATCACTCGATTCATCACTATTTCAATTTGATAACACTAGTTTTCTATTTAGAAATTGTATTTAAACAAAGTGACTTTCAATCCCCGCTTAAGTAGATGGAAATGAGGGAGGCCACCATATCTGTCACCTCATTCATCACCACGGTGGAGTTGGCTAAAGTGGCAGCTAGGCAGCATCTGCTTCAGTCCACACATCTCCTCTTGCATCCCTCCTAATACAACCTGACTCCTGTACCTCCCTCCACCAGCTACTTCAGCATTAGGGCAGCTGTAAGTGTAGAAAGGAGAAAGCATTTGAGGAATTTTACGGGCTGGTAAAATTACTCTGCAACCTCAGTTTTTAAATATATATCTTCCAGATGGATATTTCCTCTCTGAAAGTCTTCATTAAATATGGCTTGAAATATATGGTTCCTTTTAAAATGCTTCATTGAAAACTTGGACTTCATAATCAAATAATACTTTTCAAGTGGTTTTTAAACCATTTGGTTCAAGATACCTTAAATACTGTCCTTAAACCTTAGATTTCTTCTTCAAATGAAAGAAAATCCTTCTGTGGTTAGTTTATTCCAAGATTTGTTTTAATGTGGAAAATCAGTGCTTGGAATATTGGACTGAATTCCTCCCCATCCCCCCAACCCTCTTTTGTTGGGAGTTTGCAGGGACCAGGAAAAACAAGACATCTCAGTTACAAAAGCAATAGGCAAACTCAACCATTGAAGGTAAGTAACTATTACAAATTTGCCTTCTCTGCAGAAAAATAATGACTAAAATAATTTGCAGATATATTTTTAAGAGCTGTCCTAACATGGATTGTTCTCACATATCCCGTAGTCATTAATTTTCTGTTAAATATTTATGTTGCTTTTGGAGCCATCAGTTTTTGCCTTCTCTGTTGTATGATAAACTTTCTAAGAATGGGAAACAAGGAAATACCACATCTTTACTTTTTGCCCTATATCCTCATCCTATCCTTGTTGATGGATGAGTAAGAGCGATTGAAAACCAGAGTCATTTCAAATACTCAAAAAACAATTCTGCAAATATACTAATCTATTTTAACTGCTATGAGCAACAGATTGTTAATAGTATAGCAGAAATTATTCTGGCTAAAGAGACTGCAGAAGCTCTGTAGTTATGTATCTTTTAAATGGCGATGAAAGGGAAGATTAGGAAGCCTGGCCTCTGCTATTCAGTTGATAAATGACCTTGTATCATTTAACCAATCACTTTCTACATTACCTCATCTCTTTCATGATGATATCAACATCTAAGTAATTGAGGACGATCTCAATGGTTTTCTGTTTTGTAAGTGGTTGTGTTTAAACTCTTCCGCAAAGAGCTGATGACAAGGTGATTTTTTTGGTCAAGGATTCCTTTTGGTCAGTATCCTTCTCTAGTTGACATCCTTTACTGCCCTAGTCCATGAATCATCTAGTATATGTTTTCTTGCTCTTGTTTCTGATTAGGCTTTAGGTTCATTCTTTGGTTTAAGAATAAATCTACAGCCACCCAATCCCTAACTTGTTAGTATTCTAGACTCTGCTGTATATGCTGGCAGAAATGACTTAATTTTACTATCCACCCAGCGGGCTAGCCTTTCAGCATTCGCCCAGCTACCCACGTTTGTGTACCGATCTTTCGGTTTTCCTCAGATTGTTCAGCTGTCCAATTTCTTTCAGCTTCTCTCTTCCCAGATTTTCCCTAATCATCATCTTCTATTTTTCTGAAGGTCATCTATAAGTCCACTCTCTCTATTATTATTTTTGAGCTTCCAACTTCCTAAAAATGTGATTCTTTTTTCTTTTGAGAAGCTTTTTTCTCAAGACACTTCTTAAAGGGCATTGAGACTGTAAAGCGATTTATTCCAACCACCTCATTTTAGAGCAAAAGAAACTGAAGTCTGTAGATACAAGTTACCGAAATTCATCTAGTAATCCAAAACTAAACCCAAGGTCTTTGAACTGCAAAGAACTGGAGAATCCAGCCTTTGCCCTCACTGATACAATTCATGTTCCCAAAAGATTTAGAGATATATCTACACTGGGATCCACTTCCTCCAGTTGGTATAGCCCTGAGCAGGGTGTAGTTGAAATACAAAGGATGGGATCTGAAATCTACCACAGACATTAGCAACTAGCATTTCTACAATTCAATTACCATTCACTTTCTGTAGCCAGAAGTGAATTATACTGAATACAGAATCTGCAAATGAGTTGGAAAGGGGATATTTTATTATATACAAAAACAAGGATTTTTGTTGTTGTTGGTTTTGGTTGGAAAAAAATGTTCTGAATCCTCTCATTGGATATTGAATAACATACTTTCGGCAAAGGTCTTCAGCCTTTGTTTTCTTCCTCAGTTATTATTTTGCTTAACAACCATGGTCACAAATTTGTTCATTGATCCTCTCTGTGGGAGATTCTTTGGTAGGTTGGATTTTTTTTTTCCTTACCCTGTTTTGAAAAGTTCCAGGCCTCTTGAGATGCCTTTATTTCTGTCTTCTCAGAGCCTCCACCTCCATCTGGTGGTATCCTTAGGATTGATCATCAATTCAGAATATTTCTGAAACCTTTACTGGGAGCAAAATTTTAATTCACCTGTCAGTGAATGACTTCTATATTGCAGTCAGCTCCTGAATCTGGCATGTCTGTTCATGGGAAGTTGTTCAGAGATGAAGTTATCACTTGGTTCTCATTGGTATTCATGACCATTCCTTGGCAATTTGTAATGTTATACACTTGTGCAGAATTTCACGGTTTTTACGTTACCTTGTTTGAGCCTATGAGATAAGTAAGGCTGATTTTATCTCCATTTTATGGTTGAAGAACGTTAGGTCAGAGAGATTCGGTGACGTACCTGAAGTCACTTAGTAAGTGGCAGAGTTAAGACTACAATCCTAGCTAATGACAGGGCTCTTCCACACCGCTCTGCCAATCGAGCCTTAAGATTGTCTTTGTCTTATTGCCCCCTTCCCAACTTGTCTGAAAGGGAAAACACTACACATTTAGAAGTAGGACTAGTAAAAAGACATTTTTACCCACAAAAAAAAGGAGTTGGCTACTCCATACAGCAAAAAAGATTCAGGTCCTATTTCCAAAATTATTAATTTAACAGAGTGCCAATTATTGGTACAAACAGCAAATCAGAGTTCAATCTCAGGGGTCTTTGGCTGGTAATCACATTTCCATGCTACAACTGATCAAAACCATGCAGTTGTACTTGGAGTCACAGCTCTCAAATACTCAGTACTTTGCAAGGAATGTGTAGGAGTTCTACTGTGTGACTAATGGGCAGTGGAGGTGGGTGACGCCACAGAATGCTGCAGAAACAGAACTTTCCACAAATTAGAGTTAGAGAACTCTGGAAAGGCCAGGTAATTTCCCTCTGTGTCTGTCACCTGCCATATGAACTCTCAAACTTGCTAGGAGACACTGAGGGATCTAGGATAGCAAATAGAGAGGGAAGAAGGAACAGGGGCAGCAGTGAGACTTGTTACATATCACCAGCACTGTCCTCAAGAGTATGCACTTGCTTAGGACCTGGGAAGAAGACACAAAATTGCAAACATGGGATATTAAAGTCATGATCCGTAAAAGTTCTTGTACCCAGGAGGCACTCCTGTGTATTATATTGGGCACTCCTAATAAAGTACTGGTGAGGCACTCCCTTCATGAACTGAGCTATGTTCATACATCTCTTACTGTTCTGAATGGTCTGAACTGGACAATCCAAACATGGGGTGTCCTTTTAGCCCTCCAAGGGGCTTTCCTTGGGACCCTGACAAGAACTTTCCATAACAATTTCTCCTCCTTGGGCCAGTTTTTGTGAGTGAGGAGTCAGTATTTAACAGCCCAGAAAGAGCCACTGATATTTAATACTCTTTAATGTGAAACCTTGTTAAAGGAGTTTTGAAAGTCTAATGGTTAAATTTTTTGGTGTCAGTGTTTTCTATCTATACTATCTGTACTTTTCTATCTATCTATACTTTGTTATTTACACTATCTATACCCTAATATCTTTCCCTTCTCAGCCCTCAAAGTGATCTGTTCCTGAAATTCTTCAGTCAGTTGAAATTTCGTGAATATTGGTTTCCCACAACCTCCTTCCTTCAAAGCTTGTTGGCCACTTCTGTTTCTCTGTCTTCCCGGCCTCTTGTTACTATGTCACAGGTAGGTCAGGTGGGAGGAGTACAAAGACCTGCAGTCTAGACTCCCCGCCACGCTGGGTCAGAGGTAGTCCACAGTTTAAAGGAAACTAAATGCCCATGCAAATGTCTCCAGCTCCACTTCCATAAAGAAGGTGTAGAACAAAAGCATCTCAGACTGTGAGGCCTCCTGCTAAGACATCTAAAGAAGACTCAAGCCAATTGGCCATAGCGAAATGTAACTTTCCTTTGTTTTTCTTATTACATTTTTACGTCTGTTACCTTTATATTTTAAATTTGGGGCATATCTTAGATATTTAATGGAAAAGATAATTAGGTATTACTCAAGTACCACCAAGAAGAAAATGAAAGGTGTGAACATTTAGAAATGGGTCATTAAACTGGTTGCCTCAGAACCATGCGGATCTTCATATTCAACACCAGAAGTAAGCAGCATCCGTGACCAGCTAATGAAACAGCCAAGCTCCTTAGGAGTCAAAGAGCCCTGCACATCATCAATCACCATTAAAACTGTAACCTAAACAAGTGCGCATGTTAGAGAGTTGAGATAGAAGGAGAAAAACACGAATAATCCTTTCACCTTGCCAAAAGTTGAGGTATCACAGAAATAATTTCCTCCCTCCTGTTATTGTCCTGCGTCCATGAGTATGTTCAAGATCTGCCATTTCCAGGTCTTAATTTAAGATTAGTGTGAAGGAAAGACTCTGAACATCTCTACTTTATATTGCTATAACTATTTCAACACAGATACAGTCTGTATTATATTTCACCATGCATTGCCATTTTATTTTTTTATTCAGCACAATAATATCCAAGCCTAGAGAACACAAGGATGCCCGACATGTCCAGCCAGCCTTCATCATACTGGAGAGGAAGCCAGCAGCAAGCAAAAAAATGGATTCTTTTAGAAAAAATAACTCCTCCCGACTTTACTGTAACCACTTCTCAAAAAAGGAGATAGTTTGTGGACAAGTTACAACATTTGCTTTCTAGGCTGTAAAGAAGAAAAACATTGGTCAAAAGCAAAACCGTCACAGTCTTCTTTTTATGCACATGGAGTTTCCCAGTCACTAATTTGAGTCTTTTGTACCCTGCCGCACAGCTGTTAGGTCGACAACTTCTGCCATTTCTGCAGATGCATTTTCCAAAAGCACCTGTTTGAGAAATTCTGAATCTTGTGGTCTGATTCTCTACACTTGGAATCTGTGTCCTCAAAACATAGATTAATTTAGCTTCCTAATGACTGTAAGTAATAAGTGAAGTTTGCATGGAGTAACTAGTTGGGAGTTTTTAAACTTGCCTATACTTACCTCAAATTCAGCCAAAATAGTTTTACCTTCCAGCTTGTGATACAAGGTACAAAATCTCATGGATAGAAAATGCCAAAGGCCAAGAATTTTTCAATTAAATAATCTGATGGAGCTACTTTTTCTTAACCATTCTTACTCCTTATTTGTTAGCTATCTTATTCTATACCTATCAAGAGTATAGAAATTGAAGAAATAATGAAATATGCTCATTTTTAATTTTGACCTTCTTGGTAGTCAGAAGGTATGATTGCTTCAGTTTCTGACAACAAATCCTGTCTATAGCTGTAGCCCTGCTTAATTTAATTTAATTTGATTTATGTGTATTTATATAGCGTATGCAGGAAGATGGGGTACATACAGCCTTGGAATGTGAGAAGGAATGAGAAAAGTAGGATTTTTTTCCCAATATCTGTTTAAAAAAATAAAGTAAAATAACCCAAAAAAAATCAGTGGTGACATTTGAGTTTTGTTTTGTTAGATCCAAACACCGAGAGCTAAAAATACTTTATTTTTAAAAAGTCATGTGCCAAGGGACTCAACCATATACTTGTATACTAGTGTTTATAGCAGCATTATTCACAATAGCCAAAAGGTGAAAACAACCCAAGTGTCCATCAACAGATGAATGGATTTTAAAAATGTAGTATATACATATAATAGAATACTATTTATCCATAAAATGAAATTCTAATATATGCTACAACATGGATTAACCTTGAAAACATTATGCTAAGTGAAATAAGCCAGATGATACAAAAGGACAAATATTCTATGATGTCATTTATCTGAGGTACCTAGAATAGGCAAATTCATAGAAATGGAAACTATAATAGAGTTTACCAGGGCCAGGGGAAGGGGGAATGGGAAGTTATTGTTTAATTGGTACAGAATCTCTGTTCAGGATGATGAAAAGGTTCTGGGTATAGATAGTGATGATGGTTGCACAATATTGTGAATGTACTTAACGCCACTGAATTGTACACTTAAAAATAGTTAAAATGGGGCCGGCCCCGTGGCTTAGCGGTTAAGAGCGTGCGCTCCGCTGCTGGCAGCCCGGGTTCAGATCCTGGGCGCACACCAATGCACTGCTTCTCTGGCCATGCTGAGGCCGTGTCCCACATACAGCAACTAGAAGGATGTGTAACTATGACATACAACTATCTACTGGGGCTTTGGGGAGAAAAAAGGAGGAGGATTGGCAATAGATGTTAGCTCAGAGCCAGTCTTCCTCAGCAAAAAGAGGAGGATTAGCATGGGTGTTAGCTCAGGGCTGATCTTCCTCACACACACACAAAAAAAATAGTTAAAGTGGTAAGAAAAAAAATACCTCTAATAAAATCTGATTAGTATTTCCAAGATAAAAAAAAATGTCATAGGCTTGTCTAAAGCATCTGAGAAGACATACATTGCTTGACAAAATAATTTGTCCTACACTTTTTGGTTTGATATAAAAAGGGTTCACATTAATTCCTGCATAATAAGGCAGCATAAATATTTCCTAGTCACCAGGCCACACTGATCACGTTATTTCCTCATTCTTTGGACACTTAGGAGTAGACACATATTTTTGGAAAACTGGCAATAACACCTTATACCACTTTGAACCATTAAGTATGATCTTTGAATCACACGTTGGCTAAATTGTGCAGGCTGTTCTGTCTTTTTCTTGGTTACTATAGAAACTGCGTAGTCATGGTGTTGTGAGGAGACTACAAGGGCATCTGAGAGTGTACAATAAAAGTTAACTTATTTCATGGTTTATAATTTCTTCCAGCTGTCTCCATTTGTGATTCTCAAGTTCACTCTGGGAGTATAAACACACAACCAAAAGGGCTCTGGTAACTACAGCCAACAACGATCTCACCCGTGACAGACTCCATCCTGACTGCCTTCCCGCAAATGTTTGTAATAGGAACACACGAAACAAGTGACATGTAAAGTTCAGGTGTTTCCAATTATTTCCCTCCTATGAGCTGAGGTTTCCTAAATCCAAAACATGTTTCAGCTCACATCGTTTTCCTTATATTTGAAGATTGTGTTGTTTCAGGAGAATTTCATCTACATAGCTCTGATTCATTGACACTTCATCAATAACATAATATATCTCCTCTGAGCTCTTCTACGCGATCATTCCCTCTCTGGGTGGTCGAAAATACGGTACATTTAAGTATTGCTTCCTTTCGTGAAGCGCACACTTAGAAAGTGTAACCTTTTGCCCCCACAAGAAAAAGACAAATAAATGCTCAGTGTCGGGATTTGTAGTAGATTCCTTGTCAGTTACATCACCACGGAGTGTTCTAGCACAATGCCTCAACTATCTTCCTGCTCAAGGACGGTCAGTCTCTCTCTACAACGGCATGGATGGGGGAAGATAGACCCATCTCTGCTGTAATGAATCTTTAACTGCCTCAATGTCAATACTCAGGCTAGACTATTCAGGGATTACATGGAAAGAGCATTTTGTTTTCCTAAGTGTAGGAAAGTGATTGATCCTTTAGGCTATAGCAGCCTTAGACAGCAGTGAGCTTTACCTTATGGTCCTAGAAATTTGCCACTTAGTTATTGCCCTCTGCAAGTGAGCGGCAGCACTCTGCTTATAATTACCTTACAGGAACCTTACAGGAGCAGCATTAAATAATATTCACCGTCTAGGGAAACAAATTCATCTACAAATGGATTAACTAGATGACTTACAATGAAAAAGAAATTCAAAACTTTACCTACTGCTGAACACTCCCCAAAATAGGTGAACATTTTAAGCCCTATCCCTGCACATTCTCTCTCTCTATCTCTCACACACACACACACACACACACACACACACACACACACACTTTATGATTTTGGCAGGAAACAGTGAAAGATATTGTGAAAGGATAAACATTGTTCTGATGATGAAGTGTTTTTGGTTAATTGCCAATGAGTTTGAAGAAGAATCCAAGTTTTCAGATCAGCATCAGGGCTAGAGTTCTTTTAAGGGATAAACTCCTACTACTCTTGGCACTTTATTCCGAGTCCAAGTAGAGGAGACATTAGAATCTAACCGTCTGAGTACGTTTAAAATGTACTCAGTTTAAAATGTGTAGTAACAGTATGACTTTGTGCTTAAGATAATATAAATGGTTACCTATGTTTATGAAAATACTGACTTGAAATGTATCTATATAGATATATTCATAATATATTTATATTCTTTGGGATACATTATAAGACAAACCAGATAAAAGTAGAAATTTTGTTTTATTTTTAAAGGATTTTTGCTTTCCTAATGTTTTACTTTTCTTAGACTAAAGACAGTTTCAGTATGTTGAATGCCATGAAATTATCAGCCTTTTGTTTATATTTACCACAGTATGAAAAAATGTAAAACTTTTAGAATTGTTTGAAAGCAGTATTGTCTATTCTAAATAGGTTGTGTAAGTGTCTGTATTGTGGTCCTGAGAAAATTGTCTATTCTAAATATGTTGTGTAAGTGTCTGTATTGTGATCCTGAGAAAGAGGGTAAAAGGTTTCTCTGAGAGATCAATATGATTACCAATTGCAAAGGTGAGTAGTAATACTCTTCCCTACCTTCTACCTGCATCACACATTATATTAGTCAACTAATAATTTGAGTTCAGGTCTAGACAGAGGAACACAGTAACCATGAGCAGAAATACCATAGGAACTGGTTTTCAAGTTCATGTCTCTTACTCTGCCCTGCAGAAAACAGTCAGGGGTACTACAAGAGACTTAGGGATAGATGTGAGGTGGGGAAGATATCCACTCCCAAGGTGTCTCATTCACATGGCAGGCAAACTGGTGCTGACTGCACGTTCATGTCCACATTGGTCTCTCTATAAAGCAGCTTGCGCTCCCTCACGCAAGGTGTCTAGGTTCCAAGAGTGAATGGCCTAAGAAACAGGAAGTGGAAGCTACCAGTTTCTTAAGATCTGGACACAGAAACTGACACAGTATCACTGCCACGTTCTATTAGTCAAGCAGTTATAGAGCTTAGATTCAAGGGGAGAGGACGTAGACCCCACTTCCCGATGGGAGGCCCATCAAAGAATTTTGTGGCCTTGTTTTAAAACCACCACTATATGTAAATCACCAAGAAAATACATACTGCTTTTCAACTTGATCTTGCCTTCTTAAACCTTCTTAATCTAAACTGGGAATATCTGCCCCAATCTTGGAAAATCAAGTATATCCTCAAGTTCAGTTAGTCGACCCTTTGAATCCTGATATTTCAAAGAATCACAACAAAACAGGCAAGAAACTGGGACCCCTCATCTTTATTGGGGTATATTATGGGTTTAATTGAAGCAAGGGAAACCTGTTTGAAATATTGCCCTGAAGCAATAATTGGCACTAAAGATTATAAATTACCTCTTAATTTCTTGCACCACCTTTCTAGGGCCCCTCAACATCTCTCCCTCTTCCTTAAATCACTAAAATCTACGTGGATTAGCTGAAGATATATATTGAATGACTTGTAGTTATCTGTCTGTTTAGTTTGTATTTTGCAAGCTTATTTTTCCCTTTTGTGCATTCTTAATCACTAAATATTTTTTGAGCATCTATTATATGCTAAGCGCTCAAGTTTAAAAAATACATGGTTTGTGACTTTATGGGAGTCATAGACAAGTGGAAAACACACTTGCAACAAAATAAAGAATCAAAGAGGTACTATAATAAAGCTAAATACGAAATCCTGTGGGTTCTTCAGAGCATGAAGAATTCCAGGTAGGTGCCATGGAGCTGATTTTAAGAGACAGGTTAAGATGCTTCTTGCAAATGGAGAAAAGGAAGGCTGATCAGCACTTGCAGCAAATAAATGGAAGG